TGAGCACTGATGTGCTCATTAGATTGAGCACAACTGCAGTCGGAGAACGTCTTTAATTTCCATAATATAAGTTTTGAATTAATAGAGAATTATATATATATATATATATTTCTATGATAAACACTTTTATCAGTAGTATTATCCAATTTTATATATATATATAATAAAAAAAATTAATGTAAAATATCTATAGCTTTAAAGCTTCCCATAATTTTAAATTTTACTTATATCTGTTTTATTCTTAGACTATTATGAACTTCACGTTAGTACGTGAATAAATATCGCGTCAGATATTTCATTGGATCTAATACTCATAGGTCATGGACCTTAAACTATTTAGGGTTAAATCTGGTGTCATTTCCGCTTTGAATATTGCAGTTGGATCACGGAGTGCTATATTATTGAAGCACGAAGAAGAAACATGATCTTTGCAACTTGAAGTAATTCATGTACACTAAAATGAGGTAACAAAAAATGAGATAACAAAAAAAGGAAAGCTATAGCATGAGATTTTATCAATAAGCTTGAAGAAGTCTAGTTCGTTGGACCGCGTTTCAATCGATCCAATTCCAAATATAGATAACTTTATATTATTCAAAGCACGACGCAATCGATATGATTATGAAATTTCAATAATTCGATTTAATCCTTCAGTTTGTAGCTTTCCACTATTAATTAACCTAAGTCTAATCCATCTCGTGTCGGACCTTAATTTCTCATAGCCAATTAGTGCATATCTTAAGCAAGCATTAATGCATATATTAGCCAAGTTCCTTCCATCAAGGAAGACGAGAGATTTTCCAAGAATTATGTCAAATCATTCTTGATATTACTCGTACTGACGTGAACTACACAATAATCTAAGAATAAAATATCGGGGAAAATTAAAATTTAAAATTAAGCAACGCGCTTTAAAATTCATATATTATTTTAACATTTTATATATATAATTTTAATATCAATAATATATAATTTCATATATATTAGATATTGATATCAAAATTATATTAAAATTTAATTGTATAAAAATATTTAAATTTAATTATAAAACTATTTAGATACGACACACACACACACACACACATATTATAATGAGAATAAACAATATTTTTTTCAATTTATAAAACTTTGTGCAAACAAATATGTTACTTGATTTTAATTTTCAAAATCTCCTTTTGAAATCATTAAATTTCTTAATACCTTATATAAATTGCAAATAGACAAATTTCTGGAGAAAGGAACACATACATAATGCTTTTTCCATCAATTTCCAATTAGCGCAATTCAATTTATGCGTCTTTTTTCTTTCTCGAATGATGTTCTTATCGAAATAGCTTGTATCGAATTCGCATTCGAAGGTCGCACAAACGCGGTAGGAAAATCACTAATCGCACAGGCGGTTCTCGAAAGAACTCGAATCGCAAAGCTCGCGGTTAAATTCGTGATTGCATCCGTGTATGTTCTGTCGCGCGTAGATTTTGCATACTGCCGTTGTGTGAATGACAGATTTATCTGCGCGCGTTCTCGCAGTCGACGAGAATTTCGCTTGAACTGTTTGCCTGCCAGAGTCAGACAGATTTGATCCGCTTCCAGTATACGAAAGTTAGATCGGCACCAAAGTTTCGATCATTCTCCTGTAACTTCTGCCCTCCCTTTCCCATGCATTTTTAAACGAGAAATATCTTGGATATATTCAATAGTTGTGATATAAAGCAGTTAGATTAGATACTTGACTGCCTCCGCTTCAGGCTTTTATCTGACTAATATATCGATAATCAACGCTCTCACGTGACTAAAAATATCACATTTGATAGCGTTGTAATTGCTGCGAGAATGCGTGATTAGATCAAAATTATTAGATCAAAACAAACCTGACTAATTTTCGTCTAAATAGAATAATATTTCAGAGCAAAACTTGAAGTAAATACAAAATGGACCATTCATTTAATATTCATCTCGTGATCTCATTCGGTGATCAAAATTTTCTTCGCGGAAATTTAGATTTCGCGTGAAATGTCGAGAAACCGCGCGCGGAGATTATAATAAAACGTTATTTTATTAATGAGAATACGCCGTAATAATTCAATAGCGTCTGCGCGATACCAATGCAACGACTTTTTTCGATCTCACTCGACCTCACTCTTGAATAATCGAGATCCTAAATACCTATTCAGAGAATGTGATCGTTTTTACAACGACACAATTTGTAAAAAATTGATTGCAGCAGAATTTCTCAAACGTTTTTGTTGGTACAGATTATTTTATATTATTATTATTAATGCTAAAAAATTAACAGTATCTCGTAATATGCAATGATATTAGTAAACCGATATTAGTATGTCGATATAGATAATCATAATAAATTCTGTTGAAAATATTACATATTGCCATTAACCGTGTTATGTGTGTAGTAAAAAAGGTCAACTTGAAACTTTCTAATATATAGATTGTAAACATATTTGAACCATGCCAAAGTCTTCCGAATTTTTATCCAACCGGTCGAATAAACCCGTCTAGACGCCCAGTTAACGGATGTACATACAATTGCACACATAATGTTCATGTTACTAAATATAGTACAAAAGCGACCGGGAAACCGTTATATCTACCTCTAGCCTCGAATACATCCTGTGGATCCTTCATACAATTATGATGAAACTTCCTACATTTAAGTAGACTTAAAGACACAAATTTTCTCGCTACTTTGTTCCGAAGGAAAAATTAGTCCTGAACTTAACAAGAAATTTAAGTCTTTATTAAAGTTAACATCGCGATAATGTGATCGTAGATTAAAAACGGATTAAAAATACTGGAAAAAAATTCTGGTTGCATTAATTGAAATTATAAAAACGGATAAATCAGAATTTTTTGATTAAATTTATTAAATTCTAGTTGAAATATAACCAGAATTCGTATTGATATAATTAGAATCTTCTGATTCGTTAAGTTTTAATCGGAAATTTTTCTCTCTTGGTTTAATTGTAACTGAATATTGATATTAGTAATATACGTCAAGATAAATGCCGCCATTTATATTAATAAGCAATTAATGTAAATGGCGGCATTTATCTTGACGTATATATTACAAATGTCTGTGCTGTTTGGAGAGCTAGGTTCCAATATTGCGACTTTTATACAATATCTGCCTATAGATGACATCATATGAAGTCTTACACATACTTGACTTTGAAATATTATATAATACTTCAATAAAACACACTCTACTTTAAAACTATACCTAGACGAGAGCTGAGTGGGAGAGAAGAGAAGAAAAAATAAAGTCCGATATTCTCTCCTGAAAGAATAAGCAATAACGACACTCGTCGATACGTATTCGCTGACAATGCTCTTGGTACCCTCTTAAACCTGCCTAACAATACTTCCGATAATAATACACGGTGATCACGGAACTTGAAGCGACGCCAAGAACACTCGTCGGACTTGGTCACAAAAGTACAGTTATGGAGTACGAAAACTTCCTGGGCGGGTAAAGTTCCGGATAATTTCGCAATTCTTCGGATACAATTGTACTCTTCAAGTACAATTAGGCGCGTTTCTACGTCTATTTCGGAAAACTACCGCGATCGAGTCATTAAGTAGAATCACGAAGCAGCACTCAGCGTAACATTTTATTAGCTACACTGTGAAAACTTTTCTGTGAATGTAATAAAAGGTTCGCCCCCTCCCCCTCAAAAAACTTAACCTTGTTCTTATCAGTGGTGCACGTGAAATAAAATAACATAGAAATTTCTCTACATTCAAATATAATTCTGTACATTTCGAATTAATTAAGTCTAATGTAAAAATACTATATATATGACAATATCAATGAAAAGGGAATTCCGTTTATATCGATATAATATCGCAGCGATAACAAATATATCTACTTTATTGATCGTATCCTAAGAGGCATTAAATTTGGAACAATGCCATTAATAATTACTCAATATCAATCGATGCACTTGTATATACGTATCAGTCATCTTAGAGCTCGATTTTTAGTTAGACTCAGCCTCTTAACAAGACAAAGACCTGAAGTATATTCAGACATGAAGCAAGTTAGCAAGAACGTAAGTTAGCGCGAGCGAGAAGGGCAAGCAGAAGCTGAGAGACTGTAAAAAACTAACTCGAACGCGAACGATACTCTCGAAGGTCATAAGAGAGACTCCCGATCGAAGGTCACACACTGTAAAGGAATCGAAGGGAAATCCAAATCTCGTGTTATTATACGTTGCCATGATTTCGTGAGCACGGTCGGTTTGTTTTTCATCGACGTATCTCGATGATTACGTCACTTGTTTACACCATCACTGTCTGATTTGATTACCTATTAGGGAACAATTACGCATAGCACAATTACTGCGTACGCGATCTTATTTTTCGCTTGTTTTCTCTTTCTTTTTTATATTCTTTTTGTGCGCGAAAGTATGTTAAAAGTATACCATTTTAATACAGTAACGCAGAGATGGCCGATGCGTTGATTGTCGAAGCGTCGATTCCAATTATTCAGTTGTTACGTAAAAGCGCCGGTTATAATTGTTGATAGAGCAAACAATGTTATCACGATGGTGCCATTGAAATTAAAGTAGCTTTAAGAAACGCACAGAATCATTGCACATGTAATTATAATTAATTGGACCAATACCGTTTATTTATAGCTTAATAAAATAATTAATTACGAAGTTTCTACGAATCTATTTGTTTAATTCTATCACAATAAGACTCATTATTAATCGATTCTGATGATATAGTTAATTAGTATTTTTAATCTGGAATCTCATAAAATATTTAATATTACGGAATTTTATATTGTGTGTTTGCGAGTCAGATCGTCTTCGCAATATGAAATTCTGCAATATAAGATTCGGTCTTTGATCGTTATAAATAGAAACCTTTTAAGTACCGTTACTTTTTGCAATAAGAATACAATTCCTGAACAGTAACTTTATTCCGTTTATAATTAACAAGTGTGTGAATGCAAATATAATAATTTGACTTACCCAATACGTTCCATGGCTTTCCATGCGCTATTTTATTGACGTAGTTTCCAGTAACCTTCTACTTTTGCCGAAACACGTGTACAAATATTAGCTCTAATTGTTGCATAACGTTGTAATTAACACACTATAAATAATATCACTCAATACTTCAAGACCGCACTCCCGAGACTTTCCTTTTAAGTATTCGTTTTAAACTCGCGATTTCAAACGAATGATTAACATTCTCTGATAATCGCACGATATTTAAATCGACACTCCCGCGATAGTCACTCGCGTGATTAATTTCATGAGACACGCGGGATATGTGATAACGATTTTCATCGACGATCGAAATCGTGACTCCGTTGCGAACTCCTACGGCCATGTAGTAACCATGTGTAGTCACCTGTAATCATTTTACATTGTTTATGTACATATATCATTAAAATATATAAAATGCATATATAACTTTTCGTACGTTAGATTGCCGCGTAAGCTTTATCCAATAGTGCTTTTGAAATATAGAAATTTTATCGGTTCTAAGAAACTTCTAATACAAATGTTATCTGTACGATGTAAAGAAGAAGGAGATATTGTATTTTCTATTGTCGCCTGAATGACAATAGAATTCGAAACGAATGTCGTATAAATATGAAGTAGCTGTTAAAATACGACATAGATAAGATATTGCTTGCTTTACGAATTTTTCCTTCGTTGATAAAGGAAAACGTAATGTAAAACGAAGCAAAAACTCATTTGTACGACACGTAATGAAAGTACTGTAAGCGTTCGCACTTGTCATTAATGATTTGAAAAATTTTATGCCACAAATACGAACAACGAGGACAATATCCGATAAAGATGAAAAAAATGAAAATTTACCTCATAAATAACAATGACGATATATTGGATTTTGATACAAGATATTTTAACTTGATTTGCATCATATCAGCATAAATAGAACTTACGCAGCAATATATTCACAAATGAGACGTTATTTTAGAAAAGATATGAAATTCAGCTTTATAAGTATCTTATTAAAATCGACGCGACGTTAGGGTCTCAGTTTATGTTCTCATTTCATTTTAAAGTGGAATTTTTACATCACTTTGAAAAAAAACAATTAATATTAATGAATTGCATAGTGATCATAACGACTAAATGCATGCGTCTAACGACAACTTCATGAATTAACAAATCGTTAGTGAGTGATATCGTCGGATTTATACGACTTATTCATTAAAATGTATATATATATATATAAGCAAACGTGTGTATCTTTCCACGTTACGATAACGCACGTACATAAATGCATCAAAAATATTTCATCACGCAACATACAGTGAGTGCAAAAAGTATTCGTAGAAAATATTTTTTTAAATTTTATTTTCAAAAAATAAATATTTTCCAGAGAAATAAGTCATCGAATTGATGTCGAATCGACATAAACACGATGATTTCAACATCAATTTGACGTCGATTCGTTTAATCGACGATCATTTCCTGTTAGATAATCGATAATTTATTCATAAAGAATAAAATAGATCGTATGTTTCTCAAAATTATATATACCAAAAAGATATGTATTAATTATACAATATATCATCTGAAAAATAAACGAAAATTAAAAATTGTATTGTTTAAATGCTCAAAAAGTATTCGTACAGATGAGAAATTTAGCTTCTAAAATCAGAAGTACATGCGAAGCTCGTTTGTATATGTTAGAACAGAATGTATGCATTGTATAAAATTGCTAATTAATGTTTATTTTCTACAAATAAAATTTTTTTTATAAGAAATTTCCTTGTACGAATACTTTTTACTCTCACTGTATACTTTACAAAAGATGAAAGAAAGATATGATATCCGATTGCTGCATTAATTAAGTTTTAAAATATTTATCAATTTGATATCTTCCAAATCTGTCAATCGAAAGATCGATCTTCTTAAAAAAAAAATCAAAAGAAAAGTAATCTCGAAAAAATTAATTCAAATATTACGGGAAGACAATCATGTTATTATAACCTGATTATAAAAGAAGAAAAAAGTTAATCGAAGATATGAATAATATTAAAATTAATTTCTATGTTATCTCAAGATGTGATTTTTGAAGTTGATAAAATGTAAAACAGTCTTTTTTCTTATCACGCTTGATTTATATAATCTTCACGATCCGGAAGATATCATAAAATATTGCTCATTGCAACCATTGGCGATTTATCTCGATTTTGTTACTGCCTGGAGTTTCGCAAATATTTCGATCAACCCGATGTCTCCGTAACCACGATGTACTACAGCACCGTACTTACGTCAGGTAAAACTTTACAAACAACATCTTTGCGACAGAAGGAGTCGTTTTCACGAGGAGATGCTTGAACGCGAAGACTTTAAGCAGACTTCCGTTACAAAGTTCAAAAGTTTGCGTGAAGAGTTTATCAGTGCGAAGCGACATGAAGTATATATATGATGTTTCTTAACAATGATACAATAAATATGCCTCGGCAATGTCAACACTGACATTTCTAGTGATTATTTTCTCTCTCTCTCTCTCTCTCTTTCTCCATTTGATATAATGAAATTTCAGTTTGTATTATCTAAAATAAAATCTTTGATATATTGTTAAAAATGATATTAATTTTAACTTAAAAACGTACAGTAAACCTTCCGAGCATGCAAAAATGTTAAACTTAACATTTTTTTATACAAAAATGTAAACAGTGTACTTATAATATTTAGTGGCAGATATTTTCGAGATAAACATAAGTATGAAGGAAACCGGTCTTGAACTCCATTTAGAGTACAGACGTCAGGGAGTATACAGAAATGAAGTTAACAAGCCTTAAGTACTTTGTCAGGCATAAATAACAATTTCAGTGTCTCTTTTCGAATCTCGATGCGTCTCTTTCTTAGAACAGTTGCATTTCGTATTACGACAAATTAGCGGAAAGGGATCATGCGATTATTGTCACAGCAGACAGAGACTATCAACTACCAAGTACCGACAGATTGTCACATCACATGTTTCAACATGTTGAAACATGTGATGTGACAAAAGTGAACTTGTATGTGCCCAGAATAAAACTTCACATCGTAAATAACATAACCTTGCGAGCTTCACCGGTCATTGGTCATAGGCAAAAGATTTACATTTTGGGCGTAGCCGACTGCGTTGCGTTCGAACATTTGAACATCGATCGCTTGGAACATGACTCGCAATTGCGAATAAGAAACAGAGAAAAAGAGAGAGAGAGAGAACTGTTACATAAATGCAACACCCGTCGCATAATATCGTAACGACGCTAATGATACCGTTTGCCATATGCGCGTACGACGCCCCGACAATTGTAAATCGTGAACAAAGACACATAGTATTCGAGATCTTTCATATATGTGTATGTATGTGTAGTTGTTTTATTGCTAGAGATTACATCAGCCGCACGCATCCTGTAAAAATCGAGATTTTCATCTGTCGCGATTCTTAAATTGCCCCTCTGTGTCTCAACCGATAGGAATTCGTTTTTGTAACGGATTTTTCTTTAACGGAAAAGCGTACGTGATCTGCGAAACATAGACTCAACTCAGATTCTAATGAACTAGCGGGAAATAATGAATATATTATTTACACGTATAGAAGTGTCGAGTTGCTCCTCCTCTCTGTTTCTATTCTTTTCATTTGTCTCTCTCTCTCTCTCTCTTTCGACTTCGTCTTAAATTACACGCAACCTTCGATGACGACCTATATAAATCACAGACGAAAAACGAACATGTTTACAGATACGTGTCATCTTCGACATTATAAATCAAGTATCATAAATCTTTTAAGTATATGTCAAATTATATAATATAATATATAAACGTAAAAATGAAATTTATCTGATTTTGAGAAGCTAAATTTTTAATCTGATTTTATCAAATTCTTATTTAATGCTCTCTCTTAATATTCGATATGTTATTAATGAAAAGAAATTAAATTTAAAACTATAAAAAGAATTATTTATCGGAATGGTATTTTTCATCCTTTCGATTATAAATATTTAATATACACAAACTTGATATATTATTGATTTAAATGTTTGTACAATGAAATTAACACGTATCTTAATCTGCCAAAATATTCATAGCCAATTAGAAAATTATAATATATTAAATAGTCAATTATAGCACACTACAGTATATTAAATTGGATTTGCACTTAACATGAAAGTAACTCTTATAATAAATGCTTCGTCACACGTTTTTACACAGATAATTTTGTCCATAAAATCGAAGCGAAATCTAGTTGATGTTGTTAATTGTAAGTAGCGGATGTTACGGATAATCATGTCAGAATAGAGACATGAGATTCTGGAAGAACTAAAAGACATCAGCCACGCCTCACTTTAAGAAATTGTAACAATATCGGCATTCTTTCTTCCTCTCTCCTCTCTTTCTCTTCCTCTTTCTCTTTGAAAAGGAAAGCCCGAGCTTCGATCGATTTCATGCTTCACTAGTTTGTAAGGCCTAACAATAAGCTAAAAATAGCACAAAGCGGTTGTAAAACGTTCTTCATATGTATAATTCAATAGAAAAACGGAGAAAACTGTTTTATTTATTTATTAAAAGATAACAATAATAAAACTATGTAACTATTGGCATAAACACAAATTAAATTATAACAAAACTATTAAGACTTCATTAAACCATTTTTTATTTACAATTACTTTTTTATATGTTTAAAAAAAAACGAGTGCTATTATATAGATAAAATAAAAGTTAAGATAACGCGTAATTGTCGACTTTTATGAACTCGCGAAACTTTCCTTCAGGATCGTTCATACATAATTGAAGATACTTCACGATAATTAATACTAATATGACTCCTTAAGAATGGATTTAACTTGCCGAACGAAGTTAACTATTTAATCCCGATAGGCAGAAATGGCTTTCGAACATGCTAGCCATACATTGTGCACTATCTCGTTACTTAAGAAAAGGAACCATTTAGAAGATTGCGTGGAGATAGAACATCTTTATTATACCAATCGAATTTGTTCGATAGTCAGACTCTATATGTGTCTCTCGGCTGACATTTAAGAAAACTTGCTACGAGAAGTTCTCGTCTATAAAATCGCCAACTTAATATTCATTACTCCGAGACAATTTTTCAAACAATATAACCAGCGACATCGCTAACTCATTAATTATCAGGTACATCTGTCTTCGCGCTGAGTCTGTTCTCCCGCTATCATTCGTATTCACGATAAAAGATACGCATTGCTAACAAGACGGAATAAGACTGGCGCCGACAACGCAATCGAAGCTGCGGACGGCATCTTCTTCAACGTATATTGACTTCACGGCCTACGCCTCGTAATAAACGGCACATGAAGTACCTTGA